ATTAAGACACACGCGCAAATCGTAAAATTGATTATTATTAGAAGCGTCATTTAAGGCTTTATTCGATTCGATCCGGGTCTTCTGAGTTGAAGGGACGAGTTTAAAAGTCACAGGTTGTCACGCTTTTTTTGATTTACTTGATCCTCTTTCTTCGTCATCCCTCTTTCGCGCTGCGTGCCCCTCTCTTCCCTCCCTTCCCCTCCTTTATCGACTCTCGTTCGTGTCTTTCCCTAATATACTCAATTGGTTTTTTCCGACACTCGCTGCTGTTTGTTCCCGTTCGACAACGAGTTAATTGTTATATTTCACGACATCCTTTTTTTTTTGTATTGGTTGGATTTCGAAGTTGGAAAACCATTGCATAGGTCTAAGGATAGTACAGATATACGGGCTTGTAGTAGTAACCCCGCGAAATCCAATTGCAAGTCTGTAAATCAGTTCAATCCGAGACCACGAGAACTCGAACCCGTCCAGATATCATATCACTCACTGTCTTTTTTTTTTTTTTTTGCGCAAGCTTTTAAATATAGCAGACAATATATATATTTCTTGGGAATATATATTAGTAAAACCCTCTTTTTTTTATTTATTTATTTCTCTCTCTTTATTTTTTTAAATTTTTTATAACGATTGTCAATTCAATTGAACTATCACGCACCCGCTCGATTCTTCCCTCCCTACTTTCTTTCCACGATTTGTTTTCACGCACTTCGAGAACGGTCTGATTGCGCTTTCTTACTTCTAACGCACTTGGTTGTTTTTGAGCGAAAAAGTTTGTGTAGCCTTGTCCTTGTTTCAGTATTGAATACCCTGGATCATACTTCGAAGCAGCCCGCCCGGACGACAAAAAATAGACGGAAGCAAAAGTCTATTAATCGGTGGAAAGGAACCTATTTCGAAACGATCTTTTGAAATCCTCTTATCAAGTCGTCACTTTTAAATTTGGCTTTTCCCGAGATTTTGGTTATTACGACATTGCACCCCCCTTTCTTCCTATATTTCGTTTGGGACAGTTCGGACAGAAAACGGGCAGTTTTGGCTTTGGATCCGGTTTGACTTGTGATATTTCATCCCAGCACACCGCCCAACGTTCCCGAACTTCCACCCCGGTATCAAAACAACATTTTCCTGTTACCAGCCTTCCCATTTCTTTGGTTTTGACAGAGGGCTTTTTTTTCCTTTTCAATTCAGCCCGCCGGGAACAGTCGATAGTTCCCTGACATCAATCTGCCACTCCGCCTGTAAACTCCGAATCTGGGCTGTATAGAGGTTGTAGTCTTGTGGTTGATCAATTGAGGTATTCCATCAAGCCACTCCTGACCGCCACCAAACCCCTCACCACATTCCTTTCGTTCGATGCCCTTTATGTCCTTTGCGGCGACGACCTTCATTTGATCAGTTCTTGTTCTATAAAACGACTTTCACTTTTTACGCTCTAGCCACGCCGCGGATCTTATTCTCTCGTTCGTTTTTTTTGGACTTCCTTTTTTCTTTTTCTTTTTTTTTGACTTTTAGCTATTCCTTTTTTTTCCCTTTCCCACAGTACGTATACTTCCCTTTCGAATTCTGCAATTCGACGGCACGCACCTTTACGACGACGGAGGCAAAAAGCAGCAAGGCTTGATAGTCAAGGTTGCTCAAGGTATAATTCTCGTTTAAGCTCTTCAACCAGGCGAATATCTACGGATCCCGTTGTGGGGAAGAGAGACATTATTGTCACAGCATACATTACATACTACATACACATACACATACATATATCAGCAGGACAACGTCAACGACGGTTAGCTTTAGTTCGAACGTTCAGCTGTCGCTCCTCAACTGTCATCTCCCTGGTCTCTTTCCTTTTTCCTCGAACTTCATAATTTAACTACATCTCCGGTCTTTGATTTGCTTTCTTTTCTTCTTCCTGGGGTTTAAGACCTCCCACTTGGGAACGTTCTCCTGCCTTCGCATATCACCCGTCTGCAGGAAATATCAGCTTCCGAGGCACACCCACACCCACACCCACACCAGACCGGACCAGACCACCCTTCCCCCCCAGCCCAGGTCGACGTCGACGCACATCACGCCCGCTTGCTATTCGCCTTAGCCTCAGTCAACTAAGCCAGACGACATACAGACGCAACCCCCCCCGGAGACCCACTTCTTCACAGCAGCAATAGACAGACAGACAGGCAGAGACAGAACGGGAAAAAAGCAATAAGCAGAAGCACCTGGTCAATCTTCATTTTCCTTGCATAACAAAAGAGTCCTCGCCTGCAAATCCAATAAACTTGCTTGGAGCTATTCGAGACATTAATTATTTCTGGTTCTAAGGTAAGGTGATATTTGTGTACTTGTTACGATTCTTTTCCCTTTCGATTTTGATCTAATAAAAATCACGATTACCCTTACATGTCCATGTGGGATATCTTTGCAATACCCTTAAACCCAGTTTCCGTCTTTTAAGGTTATTATACATCCACATCTTATTCTTCCAGTTCGTCAGAGTCAGCTGCTGCTGCTGCTGTTGGTTCTTCTCTCTTTTCTTTCCCATTTCTTTTCCCATTTTAATTTATTTCATTCGTTTCCCCTCTGCTGCTACTGATTTTATGGGCCTCGACCAGTAACCTTATTTGGTGGGCATCTTTTTAATTCTTTTTACTTTACTTTTTTTCCCATCCTTTTTTTATTATTATTCCTCGCTACGGTCGCGGCATCCGATCTTGAGGTTTAGACCAGGCCTTAGGAGATTATAGTGGCTAGTCCGTTTTGCGCTTTTCTTTTGAAGCATCGTTACGATTCTTTGGCTTCTTTCCCCCACTTTTGCTTATTTATATATTCTTATTGGCGGCCATAAAGCAGTCTTTCTCCCCTTGACTTGACTTGACTTGACTTGACTTGCTCTCACTTCTATGAGGTTCGTTATTTCTTTCTTTCTTTGACAAAGACTATCACCTTTTGACATAGGTATATTCGATCTTCCCTTTTTGCATTTTGCATTTTGCATTTTTGCATCTTTCCTCTTTCCCATATCCCCTCCCCGGTAGACGAGGCAGACGCCTTGCATATCTACTCTTCTTCCCCAAAGAGTCTTGTTATAATTTGTCCATGAGGTTGTGTTTATAGACCCACCTCTCGCTCATTCGTCAGCCCTTCTGGACTCCCAGAGCTGGCGAGCCAGCCAGAGGGCTCACCACCCACACCACCTCGCACACCTCCCTTTAAAACTTGCCTTGACAGACCCAGCTCCTGGCCAACCACGCTTCATTCCTCCCACACCCGCTTTCCCCCCCATCGATCCCACTACCAGATAAATATTTCCTGTTCCTCGTTTGTCTGGCAGTTTGGCAGTCTCTACCTACCACTTTGCTACTAGCTGGCTCCTGTTGCTTGCTGCAGCTCATATTTGCGTCTTGCTTTTATTTTCCGGCAGCACCGCATGCCACCAGTCCTGACCCGACTGACTAAGGCTAAGACCATTCGAGGGCACCTTTCAAATAGTTAGTCAGGTTTCTCGAACAGTTTTTTAAACTACGCCTCGTTACCCATCTTTCTATGTATGTATCTGTATATGCATACCATACACACTCGTTCTTTTAAGCAGCCAATCATACCCATTGCCCTTGAAAGTTGCGACAGGTCTTTACTATAACCTCTCCAACCATCCCTCCTCTCACCTGATTTCTCCATTTTCGTCCAGACGTCCGTATTCGTTTTGAACGATCAGCCCTCTTTTCGATTATTTCTCCCCCGATACTGTCAGGCATAGCGCATCGGCTTTTTGGCTCTGCTTTTTTTTATTATTATTATCTTTTATCTTTTATTTTTATTTTTTCTTGTTCCGTTTCTTCTTTGGCATTCGGACAAATAGTTTTCCCATCCGAGCTTAAGCTTTGTGATTTCTGGAAGCGAGTGAACGGGTTATTAATTTGCTATTACTAGATCTCCAGATTACGGTAATTTGGTTTTTTTTTTTTTTTTTTTTTTTTCAGTTTCGGCGGTACCTTTTTATCAGAAGACTTTTTGGTGGACTCGATCCGACGGGTTATTTGTTTTCCTCTTTGGTGGTATAACATCAACAACCACAATCATCAACCACCATCTCCCAACCTTCAATAAGAGCTATCGACGCTCTCGACTTAACTTCGTTCCCACCTTCCACGACAGCTGACAACCGAGACATCCGATACGTCAGCAGCCTCCCGAATTCTTGTTCGACAGCCGAAGTGTATATGTGTGTGCGTGTGAGAAAGGGAGAGACAGCGCCAGAGTAGTTGATAGAGAGCGAGAGAGAGAGATAGAGAGAGAGAGAGAGAGAGCAGTGTAGAAGAGCTATACTGTGCTTGCTGTGGAGGTCAACGGTTACAAACGTAAGTGTCTGTCTTCAAGCCAACGGTAACCACAACCACGTCGTTGCTGTAAAGACCCGTTACAGCTGCTGGTGGACAACGCATCCCGCTCCCGTCCAGACGACCGACCCGCCACCGCCATTTCCACCCCTCCATCTGTCTATCCACCACTGTCCATCTACATACACCCAAACCAAGCCAACCTGCACTAAACCCTACACCTTCCATCCTATCATCATCTCCCTTCCTATAACCCTTCTGCCCTATCATATCGCAGTTTCCCTCGTTGGCTGTCAAAGGCTACTTACTGCCCTTTCGCCTATTTCCAAGATCCCCGTCTTTCGATCCTCCCGTCCGTCCCTTCTTTTCCCTTCCAACTAGTTTGGTTCCTTGGCCGGTTGTTTTTGGTCATCTGCTCTGCCCGACTCCCATACTGAGCTTCTGCAGGTCCACGGTATCACGTGGTGATATATATTCTCGGCTGCCCCATCTGACGACATCTGCCTTCCTCTTCTACTTCATCCACACTTCCCTTTGTCTCACAATCTCGCCTTTCATTTCAGCTGCCAATAAAACGGCCATCACCACCCTCACCGCCTTTTTTTCTCCCTTCTCTCCTGTCTCGAGGACGTCGATATCCACTCAACCGAGTAGCTGCTGATCATGATGGCTCACGTAGCCCAATCAACCGCCCAACAAGCGATCGCAATGCAAAACCAAACGGAACCCTCCGACTACGAGGAAGTAGCTCCCAAACAACCCTTAACCACTCCACAATCTGCTGCAGAACCTTCGAATGCATCTCCACCGAGCACTGCAGGATCTTCTTCAACACAAAACCGCAAACGAAAACATAACGACGAAGACGACGGTCCACCAAGTCGGAGAACATCTACTTCTTTCCAACGTGGATCTCCCAGTTCGAACATAGGAGGAGGTGCTCAAGGTCCTGGATTCATGCCTGTTAATACCGGCTCTAGCTATGCGAACTTGAGCTCGCCGCCTCATACATTACCGCCTGGGACGAGCACACTAAACGGAATCAGCCCGGTAGAACACCAGCTGTCGCAAATGGGAGCCATGATTCCGGGAATGGGAATTCCTCAGCAACAAATTTCTGGAGACCATATGGATTCTGGGTTTGGCCTAATCAACCAGGACCACAATTCAGCTCCAGCAGGCCCGGCTCCTCTACCACCCCGTCCGAGTCACCCAGCACCAATAACGAAACCCCAAGTCGGTAGCGAGGAGTGGCACAGAGTTCGCAAGGACAATCACAAAGAAGGTATGAAGGATTCTGCTAATAGCAAACATCGTTGTCGGGGGGTTCCCCTGCTAACCTGATCCTCCACCTCTTTTTAGTTGAACGAAGACGGAGAGAAACGATCAACGAAGGAATCAATGAGCTGGCAAAGATAGTTCCCGGTTGCGAAAAGAACAAAGGCTCGATCCTCCAAAGAACCGTCCAGTACATCAACGAATTGAAGGAGGAACTGAAAAAGGTCAACAACGACAGAGGGGTCGAGAAGATGTTAACCGACCAAGCAATGCGAGACCTGAGCAATGCCAACGATAAGCTCAAGGCAGAGTGCGAAAGGGCTTGGAGAGAGGCTGATACCTGGAAGAAAGTTGTTTCCTCAGCAGAGAACAATAACGCCAACAGTGCAAACGTAGGCTCAGGAACCACTGCCCAGTCGTAGGACGCCTCGGACGTCGGTTTCGATCAATCTAACAACAAGCATTCAGTTGAATACCAACCCCTTGGATATCGCCCTCCACATGAGGAGGAAGCGGCTCCAATCATCTCAAGGGATACCCTTAGTCCCCTATTCACAACTGGTTCACAAGACCAAGACTCTGAATTTGGAGACCTAGCCCAGCTTCTACTTGCAGCTTCCTAAAGCTATCATATAGCTCATGAATTGAGATTCACCATACATATTTCTCTTACTATTTTTTCCTCTGGTTTATTTTTCGTCAAAAATGGTGCGGCTCAAAAATTAGTCTTTCCTAACGATTACCTCGGACAGTTATCTTTTTCTATTTCCTTTTCTTTTTTTTTTTTTTCCTTTTTGCTATCTCTTTATGCTTCCTCTCCTCTTGCCTTCTAGATACTTTTAACGGTGGTCCTTTGATTTTAAGCTCCTTCATTTTTCTTCTTTCCAACGACTACGAACATAATCTTTTGTTAGCCGTTTCCCGTTTTCATGAGGCCCTTCTACGACTCCCCTGCCTCCGTTTCTACGGAAATCCAACCCGAACTTTCTGTGCCACGAAACACTATCAGCCACGGACACACGAAACGCAAACCGTCACTGGAGTTATCAAGCGTTGCTTCTTGTTCCTCGATTCATTTTTTTATCTCTTTCCTTTCCTTGGCTGTCTCTCTCTCTCCCCTTTTCTTTTTTTCTTTTCTTTACTTAATACCAGATACACCACTTCGTTTGTATAAAACTTATGACACTGCGTCCTAGGATACTTTTTTTTCCCTTACGTTTTACACAATATATGTCCAGACGCCGATAATGCGAACCGTTCTCAAACGCCCACAGCGACAAAGTTACTCCGGTTTCTGCTTTTATCGTTTCCCCCCCTTTGATATCTTCCATGTCGATAGTTTGATAATTCCTGTACACGTCTCTCTCTACTTTTCCTATGTTCTTGTTCTTCATCATATTTATTTCTTATGTACTGAAGCTCCCAAATGGTGTTTATAAGTGAACCTTTTTTTATCAACTTTCTTCGCTGTATCTTCTTCCCGGTCCACTATTTCTTCCTTTTGAATTCCACTTCTTGAGTGTGTTTTTACAAAAACTATTTTTCCTTTGGTCATTTGATCCGCTTTTGCTACTCTTGTTCCCATTCTTCTTCCAGCCTTTTTGCTTTTCTTGCGCCTCTATGGTTTCGCATTCTTGGGACCTACAGACGATAGGCGGCAACAGATATCTAAAAAATATGTAGTAATGAAAGATAGCTATAATTAATTCACCGAATATCAAAAAGGCGTCTACGAGTACGTACGCTATTTCGAAAAGCTAGATCCTCCCCCTACAGAGCGTAACTTACTACAGCTAAGCTCAATGTGCTCAAAAAATGCCCAATACAAAACCTAATCGACATGGAAATCGATCACAACCAGGTTCATCGAAGATTCCTTGTAAGCCACCAGCGTGCAGGACAGTCTAACCTCATCCTTTTGCCCGCAACATCTATGTATGTGCTCAACGGCACTTGGAACCTCCGCTGGCGCTCGCTCACCCCGGCTCTTAGATCTGTCAATTGACCATCAGTGCTTAATATCTATTAATACACACAATCTCTGCATTTACTATTTACTGTGTTTCTTCATTTTTTGACGGCGACGGCGACGGCGACAACGACTATTCACAGTGTGTATTTGCCGCACATGAATTTATCCAACCCGCTTTTTCCTTTAGATTCAATATTCCCCCTTGCTGATAGCTAGGCCATGGACTTGGGTTTAAGGAACAAGAAACAGGCCAGAGCCCTTTTTTTTTGTTTTGACAGCGTTCGCTACCGGGCCCGCTTTGGAACTCCGTCGTTTACTTTTTTTTCTTTCCCTTTCATTCATTTCCGGATATATTGCCTTACATAGCTTGCTGAGTGATTAAGGCATCCCACATGGAAAGTCCGAATTCTCTTTTCGGGCAGGTTATATACGGTAGTTTGACGGATTAGCAGGTTTTGCGGGTGATTGATTTTTCTTTGTGGCTAATAATATGGCTGGGGTAAGTGGTGATTGTTACGGTGTATTCCGTATCACGGAGTTTTTGGGTGATGCTACTATTAGCCGTAATTAACTGCCAACTAATAACTATACTAACTGCCTGGGCGGCGGGCCTAAGTCACGGTTTATGGCGCATTCCATTATGTAGGTATCTGTCTCGTCCTTTTTTTTTTTTTTTTTTTTTTTAACTCTTTAGCGGTCTTTCCTTCTTGAAATTGAGAATACGAAGTTTTTTTTGTAGCCTGATTCAGTGGTATTCGAGCTACTAGTCAACCTTTTTTTTTTTTTGCGAACTGGACATTGATGCCGAATATCAAAGGAGATTAGAGAGCTCCTTCAGAAAATAAAACATACATCAAAAGATTCCAAAACAAGTGTCAGGTATACCTATCAAAAGGAAGCATTAACTCCACCGTAATATTTCCTAACAAGAAAAAATGAACCAGAATAAGAAATTTTTTAATCAATTACTGCCATCGCAGCAGCAGCAGCAGCAGCGCAATATCAAGAAAGCGGTAACTCTCAACGACCTACCTGCTTGTATGTGTATGTGGGTGGGTGTGCATTGCATGGCTAAACAAAAAGGCTATTGAAACCATACATAGTACACTGGTCACTTCCCAATTAATGATGTGATATTCACGTATCACAGCATAAAAAAAACAAACCGATAGACTCTACATTTCTAAAACATCAATCAAGGTGATGGGGCCATGTGCACCCTCTTTCCTTTCTGTTTTGTTTTTTGTTATTATTGCTGCCGCATGTTTTAGGTGATTATGAGGAGACATTTCGTATACACACAGAGAGAGTGTGTGATTTTGCTTCTGCTTGTGTGACCACAGAACGGGCCGAACAGGTGGGTTTTGGATTTGGATTCTGGTTCTTTTTTTTTTTTTTTTTTTTTTTTTTTTTGTATTTCGCTTTTTTGAACTCTGATTTTGGGGGTATAATTCTTTTTGGCTTTTTTTGTTTTGTTCTGTTCTGTTCTGTTCTGTTCTGTTCTGTTCATGCTGTGTATTTTATTCCATGGATCCATGTGTTTTATCACATATCACATACGTTAGAGAGCACATGGGAAAGACATGGCTATGATATGACATGGGGGGTATTTAGGAGGAGGAGAAAGAGGAGGAATTAAGTTAAGCTTTGCTGTACAAGTGTGAAGCTTGAGCTCTTCTTTGTGTGATATTCATTCCTAGCTATTTTGTTTTCCCCTCGGTTTATTTTTGTTATGCTGGTAGTCGCTTTCCTGTTGTTGATTTCAAGACACTTTTTCTTTTCTTTTCCTTTCCTTTTCTCCATGTGGGGAAAGAAAAGGATTTAGACATTTCGATCTGTTTTTTTTAACTAAAAAAAAAAAATAGATGAGATATGGGTTTTCATGGATCTAGGATCTTGAACTTCTTCTTCGTTTCCCCGAAAAATAATATTGGCATAGCTCTTTACAGCTTAGCCTTTTCATCTTAAAC